AGTGAAAGCGAGGGATCAAGATCTTATTTTATTCAGAGTCAGAAATTATATTCAGGTCTGACAAAACCTTAGGTGATTCGGGCGAGAAGAGCCTGGACTGGCAGCCATTTGTTACAGGTGCGCAAAGAATGAAGCAGATATTCATTAAAAACGAAAAACAATTACAGGTGAGCCCAAATTGATCTGCTCGCCACCAGCGCACGACAATCAATTAAAACATTTAGAAAGCATCTTCCACTAAGGCGATGGTCGTACTTGTAGATGAGATAAGATTTGTTGACATTAGCCGCTAGACTGCGCGATGGGGACAATGGATGATTAACGGCAGCGACCCCCAACCCCGCCCTGAGCCCAATATAGTGTTCCCTTTGCCCTTGATATTAAGGCCGTTGTACAAGGGCAGAATGCCCCGTCACCCGTTAAAACACCTTGTCTTTCGCCTGGGGTATCAAATAACACACCAACATTATATCCGCCGAATATAAAAAAAAAATCTCCATGTATTATTTAATAGGTTTTAATATGATAATGTTTGGGGAAAGCTGCCCGGAGCGTATCGAGGTTCAGTCTGGGTCTCAGCGAGGGGCATATAACCCCACCCCGATTTATTAAACAAAATAGGAAACCAAGGGTAAGGACTCTTTACCCGCTGCCATTCACTTCGATGGTCCACCATAGCAGAGGCTTGAATTACCGCATGGGTGACGGTGTCCAGACCCCGTGAAAAGTTATAATTAAAATAAAAAGGGTAATCCCTCTAAATCTTTAATTGGTCATTTTATCGACCATTCACGTTAAAATGATTCACGTTCGTTAAGACGACACAATGGTGCATAGTCATCTCCGCTGCACACGTGCCCGCTGACTGATTGTAACACAGTGGGGGAGATTTCGGCACCGAGCGAGCCTACTTAAAAAGGTGGAAAATTATAGAGCCTACTGACCTAAAGAAAACGTTCTTTTAACCTTTTCTGATTGTCCATTCTTTCAAGCGGTGGCAGTGAAAGACGTGATTTGTTCCTGTTTCACTGAAATCAGTTAGGGTCAGCTTCGTCGGGTCTCGCGCCGCTGGAAAGCTCCATCTCTAAAATAGCGAATTTGAGAACATTGAAAATTGGGAATTTCAATTATATAAAATAACAAAGAGCACAGGTGACTCGGACAAATACGTGGAATAAGAATATTTGAGATACATAAGGGGAAAATCGTTTAATTGCGAATAATTTGGGTGCGGGATGGCTGAAGAGAACCACTTGACAGCCCTGTGACCTGAAAGAACTCTTTCGGAAACAAGTAATCGTAATTATATTTTTGAAAACACATTCTGTGATGCCGCTGCTTGTTTCGGCTTGTCATTAACGTAACTGCAGTTAAAGGTGAGCGTCGACCACCTTGGGCTCACTTCCCGCGGTATTTGGGCATGGTATTGGTTATTCGTTATATCCTTTAAAGGTTATGTATAGTGATATCTTTTTGTGGTTGCATACTAGTTTTAAATATAACAGTCTAGTTATTTTACTGTCCTTTGTTGACAGGTTTTTGTCTAAATGTATTTGTTATTAATGTTTAACTTTTTAGTCACGATATGGCTGAAATACTGACGATGTGACTTTAAATTTTAAGTTACTCACTCCTTTGAAGCTTTAACATAATTTAGGATGCTTTCATAGAAAATATACGAAATCGATGTCGTGACTTAAAATGGGTGCTGGCATTCTATACTACTCAGAAAAAGTTAAAGAACACCATTTTCTTTCATAGTACGATATTGAATCTGTCATTGCAGGTGAACTATGGTATAATGTGACAGAATGGGATGTTCTTTAACTTCTTTGGAGTTGTATATATCTAAACACCGATACTGGAGAAGACCGAGTAGAATTATTGCTCTGTCAATATTTCAGTTCCGAAAACTATTTGTTTACTTGTTTTGATGGGCAAATATGAAGTCTGTATTATAAATATAATTGTTGTTTAGCGGGCTTATGCGAAAAGTCTCTGTGGCTTCTTCCATAGACACACAAACATGTCTCGTCCACTGTACGGTCCCGACAACTTCATAAGCATGTGTTTATGAATCACTATGAAATAGTGATAATAACAGTTGTCAGCGAAAAGATGAGCGTATCCTGCCCCACCGGGGGCACCCGTTACAAACACATGCAAAGGCAAGTCAATTGCTTGCCTGAATAAAGACACGGGAGCAAATTTTACAAGTCTTGTAACGTCATGAAACATAAATATGTATTGTTCAGGCAGCACCCGAATGGAGCGGGTTAGAATAGATTCCCAGCACGAATGCGTGTCGTGGATCGGACGGTCAGGCTTGGTGACTTGGTTGATTACGTGTTATCGCATACTGACGGCGTTGGACGTTGCTCATATTATCAATCACTGGTTATCTGGCCCAGTGCGCTATTTACAGACCGCTGTCAAATACCTGGAATACTGCTGACTACTGTGACATATAACACTACGACGTGACAATACGAAGCAAATATGCTTTTATAATTTGTTTTGTTTGTTTGTTGTTTTACGCCGCACTCAGCAATATTCCAGCTATATGACGGCGGTCTATAAATAATCGAGTCTAAACCAGACAATCCAGTGATTGACATCATGAGCATCGATCCACGCAATTGGGATACGATGACATGCATCAACCAAGCCAGCGAACCTGGACAGCCGGTTCCGTTTGTCGCCTCTTACGACACGCATCGTCGTTTGAAATAACTATCATGTGAAATGACTTAATGTGGTACAGTTTGACATAATGCAACAATCAGATACTCTGCGACATTTTACAACGTGACACGACACAATGTGACGTGATCCCACATAACCAGACAGTGTGATACACCGTGAAATGACACAATCAGGCACAATGTGATATGTGACATGACACAATGTGATATGACCCGACACAATAATACACAATGTGATTCATCGCGATACGAGACAAATGATGTAATACAATATGACACGACACAAGGTCATATGACCCGACACAGGCAGACACAATGTGATAAAACGTAACACGACAGTCAGACACAATGTGATAAAACGTGACACGACCGTCAGACAATTTGATAAAATGTGACACGACAGTCAGGCACAATGTGATGAAAGGTGACATGACAGTCAGACACAATGAGACTAAACATGATACGACACAGTCAGACACAACGTGATGAAACGTGACACGACAGTCAGACAATGTGATAAAACGTGACACGACAGTCAGACACAATGTGATAAAAGGTGACACGACAGTCAGACACAATGTGATAAAAGGTGACACGACAGTCAGACACAATGTGATAAAACGTGACACGACACAGACACTGTGATAAAACGTGACACGACAGTCAGACAATGTGATAAAACGTGATACGACAGTCAGACAATGTGATAAAACGTGACACGACAGTCAGACACAATGTGATAAAAGGTGACACGACAGTCAGACAATGTGATAAAATGTGACACGACAGTCAGACACAATGTGATAAAACGTGACACGACACAGACACTGTGATAAAACGTGACACGACAGTCAGACAATGTGATAAAACGTGACACGACACAGACAATGTGATAAAACGTGATACGACAGTCAGACAATGTGATAAAACGTGACACGACAGTCAGACAATGTGATAAAACGTGATACGACAGTCAGACAATGTGATAAAACGTGACACGACAGTCAGACACAATGTGATAAAAGGTGACACGACAGTCAGACAATGTGATAAAAGGTGACACGACAGTCAGACACAATGTGATAAAAGGTGACACGACAGTCAGACACAATGTGATAAAACGTGATACGACAGTCAGACACTGTGATAAAACGTGACACGACAGTCAGACAATGTGATAACACGTGACACGACAGTCAGACACAATGTGATAAAAGGTGACACGACAGTCAGACAATGTGATAAAATGTGACACAACAGTCAGACACAATGTGATAAAAGGTGACACGACAGTCAGACACAATGTGATAACACGTGACACGACACAGACACAATGTGATAAAACGTGACACGACAGTCAGACAATGTGATAAAACGTGACACGACACAGACACTGTGATAAAACGTGACACGACAGTCAGACAATGTGATAAAACGTGACACGACAGTTAGACAATGTGATAAAACGTGATACGACAGTCAGACAATGTGATAAAACGTGACACGACAGTCAGACACAATGTGATAAAAGGTGACACGACAGTCAAACAATGTGATAAAAGGTGACACGACAGTCAGACACAATGTGATAAAAGGTGACACGACAGTCAGACACAATGTGATAAAACGTGACACGACACAGACACTGTGATAAAACGTGACACGACAGTCAGACAATGTGATAAAACGTGATGCGACAGTCAGACAGTGTAATAAAACGTTACACGACACAGACACTGTGATAAAACGTGACACGACAGTCAGAACCAATGAGACAAAATGAAATGTGATACGACATAGACACAATGTGATAAAACGTGATACGACACAGACACGATGTGATAAAACATGACACGACAGTCAGACACAGTGTGATAAATCATGACACGACAGTCAGACACATTGTGATAAATCTTGACACGACTGTCAAACAATGAGATAAAACGTGACACGACACAGACACAACGTGACACGACACAGACACAATGTGATAAAACGTGACACGACACAGTCAAACACAATGTGTTAAAACGTGACAGACATTGTGTCAAAGGAATATTGACTTCAAGCAGATGAAAAGAGAATTTCAGTTTAATTCGCGGTTGACGCAGCGTCTAAAATATAGATTGGCAAAGCTCATAAATGTGAAATTCCAATCAATCATATACTCAATTTGATTAATATTTCACGAATAGCTTACTTTTTTCTGTTCATCATTTGTAATCTTTCATCAAGACGGCTGGGCTTTAGCGGTGCTGATGACGTCAGTTAATGTTTGAAATATTTCTATTTCAGAATGACGCAGTTGCCTAGTTACGAAGTTAAATGGCATCATTCACACGTGGCGATAACATGAAATTGGATTATCAATTGATCAGCGACATGGCATATATCACTGTATCCAGGTACAGAAAAGGCTTTGCGAGGCGTTATGAAGAGGTATGACGTAATGGCAATGTAATACAAGCTGATGGGACAGTGTGATATAGCATGGCATGATTGAACGTGTAAGTGTTACTGTTACACAGTGTTATGTGAATTGTTCTGTTTTAAGATGATGTGATGCATTAATACACAGCTGTTGGGGTTATTGGGATGCAGTGATATATGACACGGGGTATGACATATGATAAACAACTACGACGTGTCGTTGTAGCGTTGAGTAATATAAGATAATATATGATACCATTGGTATACATATATGATATGACAATGATGTATGCCACAATGTGATACAGGTACATATGACAATAAGTTATGCCATAATGTGATAATATACATATGACAATGGTGTATGCCACAATGTGACACAGGTACATATGACAATAAGGTATGCCATAATGTGATAATATGAATATGACTATGGTGTATGACACAATGGCACAGGTAAAAATGATAATGAGGTAAGACACATTGTGATAATATAAATATGACAATGATGTAGGACACTGTGTTATACAGGTACATATGACAATAAGGTATGCCATAATGTGATAATATGAATATGACTATGGTGTATGACACAATGTCACAGGTAAAAATGATAATGAGGTATGACACAATGTGATACAGGTACATATGACAATAAGGTATGCCATAATGTCATGATATGAATATGACTATGGTGTATGACACAATATGATAATATGAATGTGGCAATGGTGTATGACACAACGTGAAACAGATAAATATGACAATGATGCATGACACACTATGATACAAATAAATATGACAATGATGCATGACACACTTTGATACAGATAAATATGACAATGATGCATGACACACTATGATACAAATAAATATGACAATGATGCATGACACACTATGATACAGTGGATATGACAATGATGCATGACACACTATGATACAGATAAATATGACAATGATGTATGTCACAATGTGACACAGAAAAACATGACAAAGACGTAACAATACTTTACCGTATATCGAGAATGTCCTCGATTTTCAAGGATTTTATACCAAGTGACAACATTGAAACCCGGCCGCGCTAACCCCTCCAACTCATACTGGTAGTCTGCGAAGTATGTGCATACCTACACGCGACACTGTTGACACATATGATCAACATGAAATCAATAAACTTGAATTACTATTATCGATTTGAAATTGCATCCTTATTCAACGTGGTCACCAACGAGAGCGTGTATTATTGATGTGAAAACAAGGCTTACATACGTATTTTCATACAGATGCACTTAATTTATTCTAGATAAACTATGAACAAACAATACTAAAGAGGATTTGTAAATGTTCTTTTGCAATACTAAACGGTGTATAAACCAACTGTTCAACATTGGCGGAACTCTTTTGTTATGTTCAAAGGAAAACGTGCATCTTTAAACCGTTATTCGCACTTACGAGCGAGCAGTCAGTGGCCTATTTCAAAACCATTCCGTGTGGCCCTTTGCGATCCGCGTAGGAAACAATACATGACATTTCCCATGTTCATAACTCATTTTTGAACAAACACTATCACGGCCCGTCATCCTTCATTATACGTAGCACGGCAACTACAGTATTAAGACTATTTACAAGGGTTATAATGTCGCATTGTTTAGCCATATTTACGACATTGAAGAGACTCGTCAGACACAGTTTCCCGTACGATGTGAATAGTGCGGCACCATTGTCCGATATAAAAAAACTCACAATACACAAACAAGTTGTCGACATATGGACATTAACAAGTGCATCTCTCACTTCCGGCTTGTGCAACACGCCCGCTGATCATTGCGCAGTCAAGCATGGCGAGCTGGCTCCAATGTCTCAGCCAGGTTTCAGTGATTGATGTGAGCCCTTTAAAATTAGTTATACACAGGCATAATGGGGCTTTCTAAATGTTGGTAAAATAACGGGATTAAAAACCAAACGGATTTTATTATTGGACAGGTACTCTGTGTCAAATTTAGACCCGAAACCTGCTAAGTACTGACTAATATACCGACTCGAACAATTACGTGAACATGACGGTCATCTACCGAACAAAACTGACTGCAACGTTCAGTTTAACTGATTTATATTACACAAAACAGACAAAGAGTGAAATGTTAAACTATGGTGGGCTGCTATAGATTATATAGCAAAACATCTCCATCAATAATCGGGTAGTCTCTCACACAACCCCTGAAAAAAAAATCTGAAGCAAGCAAGTCTACAGCACTTTGGCAATTTAGATTTGTTCAGTTTCTCTTAGGGATTCTCTTAGCTGCTTTCTACTACTCGTATATTCTAAAATATAATTTAACCACACACAAAATGTAAATAGGTGCATTTCAGAGATTAAATATCAGTCTAATAATCGGGGCACATTAGGTCACGAGACGTATGTCCCTTTCTTTGTGTTTTGTTTCCAACAGTAAAAGAGAACATTGTGAAGCTTCAGTTGGTTGTTATATTAACATTCGTAAATCTTACTAAATATAAGCGCAACGAAATATTCTTAAAAACGTGAGTGTGTTATTACTGTTAACTTCAACTCCGACGAGAACAGTCTTCAGTTGTACGACGTGTCGACGGAAGCTTGCAGACGGAAAGTCCAACATATCAAGTCATGAACTAGGAATCAAAGTGGCCATAGCCGTATATTCAAAGCAACTTGACGTGATAAATATAAAGGCGTTATGTTCATATGTAACCAATAGCGTTAATATAATAAATTTCCTTCATCTGGATATAGTGGAAATAACGCCTACATAGGGTCACTGGTTCAATATACGTGTCAAGTTTACAGCACATTATTTTCCAAAACATTCAGCATGTTAAGTGGAGGACCCGATGTCAACTTATTTTTTCATGGACAATTGCGATGATCTACAGAATGATCAATGTCCACACCTATGTAACATCAATCAGTCAGGCTTGACGCTATAAGTCAAGGAACTGAACTTTCAACAACATTTGTTCGGGACTGTAATTATATTGGTCAGTCTGCGATACATCAATGTCTTTGACAGAGAATGGCACAAGGGTTTACACCACACACTTGAAAATCATGGTGTTCGGGGTAAACTCGTATCATGGACACAATCAAGGGAACGGACTTAGGGTCATTGTAATGCGTTGTTAACTCTAATGACCAACTCGATCATCAAACAACAATGTTATTCGTCGAAGTTGATTATTAATCTATCTATGATTAGATATTAGTATTGCTGCCAGAACTACAGAGGCTATAGAAAGCAGTGTCAGCAGCGACTTAGCGGATGACTGACTGGTCACTTTAACTCGCCAACATCAATCATGATGTGAGTGGGAGTGTACAACATTCACAAACATCTCGGCGTAACTCTATCTCATAAAGCAAACTGGTACATTCGTGTCAAACGTGCGACTTTTATTCGAAAGGTGAAGAATTTGCTTCCCAGATGTTAAATTCGTCAAATAATGCCTATATTGGAGCATGTTTCTGGGATATGAATCGTCATATAGTTGAACGTGACAAGTCCGTGATAAAGTTGAAACAGTTTATGGTTACAAGCGCGTAGAAGAGTCACCCGTATTTACTTAACAAACGGCTTAAGATTATGGTAGGGTGCAATTAGATATTGATCAGACGCATGTGCGAGAAAACTTCTAACATTTTGTAACTGGTTTTGTTTTTCTAATAGTTTGGTTCATTTTATAATCCTTTTCACAAAGACGCCCTTAAACAAAAAAGAAAAGAAAAGTAGTTTGTAACAATGAACTTCTCAGTTCCAAAAGCTTCAACCTTTCTTTCCTCTACTGTGGGACCATCTTGTAGTTATATAGAGGTAGGTTTATAACGTGTCAGTACAAATATTATATTTTCACAAACTGATCCGCGTAATAAAAAAATCCTGCATGCTAGACTCAGATATTCAGGTACTGTCCTCTATTTTGAGCAAATACTAGTATTCGGGAATATCTATACGTATGACACGATGATTTACATGTAAATTGTAAGCTAATTCCCAGAACAACAGGTACATACTGAGTGTTCCAGGAACAACGGAACCACGAGTACATTATTCCCAGAACAACAGTTACATTACTCCCAGAACAACAGGCTTATTACTCCAAGAACAACAGGCATATTAATCGCAGAACAACAGGCACATTACTCCCAGAACAACAGGTACTTTACTCCCAGAACGGTTAACATTTCTCCCAGAACAACTGGCACATTCCTCCAAGAACAACAGGCACATTACTCCCAGAACAACAGACACATTACTCCCAGAACAACGGGTCCAATACTCCCAGAACAACAGGAAATCTACTCCCAGAACAACAGGTACATTACTCTCCGATCAACAGGGTACATTACTCCAAGAAGAACGGACACATTATATATCTATACGTATGACATGTTGATTTACATGTCAAAATTGTCAGCTAATTCCCAGAACAACGGAAACATCAGGCTTATTACTCCAAGAACAACGGGTACATTATTCCCAGAACAACAGGCATATTACTCCCGGAACAACGGGTGCATTACTCCCAGAACTAAGGGCACCTTACTCAGTACAGCTACATTATATAGCTACAGTATAACTACATAGCGACATTAAAAAGCTACAGTAGAACTACATCATAGTGACATTATAAAGCTACAGTGTAGCTACAGTATAGCGACATATAGCTAAATATTACAGCTAGGGGCATTGTATAGGTACAGTATAGCTACATTATAGCGACATATATAGCTAAATTAAATAGATACAATATAACTACATCATAGCGACATTATAAAGCTACAGTGTAGCTACAGTATATCGACATATAGCTAAATAATACAGCTACAGTATTGTGACATATATCTACGGTTTAGCTACATTACATGGCTACAGTAGAACTACATCAAAGGGACATTATATAGGTACAGTATTGCTACATTATGGCGACATATACAGCTACAATATAGCTACATCTTAGCGACATCATAAAGCTACAGTATAGCTACATGATATAGTTATAATAGAACTACAGTATAGCTACATTATAGCGACATATATAGCTACAGTATAACT